GGAACTGATTCTGTTTTCTACATTTCATATCTGCTTTTGTAAGCCACCCCTTTATAGCCCAACGGGAAGTAGTTCATTTTTTCTCAGCATTTTTGCATTGGTATAATCCCTTGACATGAATATAAATAGGGTGTCTTGCCCCGAGTGTCTCCTAAAGATATTACAGAGTAAATCAGCAAGTTCTCCTCTTACTGTGGTTGCCAAGGAAGCTGTAAAGAAACGCCTGGCATTTTGCAGCAGTAGTTGTCCTTGCACTCAAGTAAAAGCAGGAATGGAGTGTGAGATGTAGTAAAGCAAACAGTTTTCTCTAAGTTTTGTCCTATGTTTAAGATTGATGAGCTCTTCAAGAGTTCATACACATCATAGGAGCAATATACACTGTAAAATTGAAATGAGTGCCAGTTCTTTCCCCTTATTCCAGTTGGTACACTGTAATACAAATTATTGCTGATCTTCTTCCAGCTGATGGAATACACAGCCATGACTCTTTAGGTGGTGTGTACAATCTGCTTCACTTAAATGTTTATGAACTATATAATCTGCCAAAGTGCATAGACAGTTCACATTCCCCCTCAGCCTTCAGTGGATTAAAGTATTATTCTCTAGAGTGGCATCATGTTTCATGTACAAGGCAAAAGCCTGCTCTAAATAAGCTTGCGAGCACCTCCAATCTAAGATCGAGGCTTATATGTTTGCTACAAGAAAGCATTGGCATTCAGGGAAGTTTTTAATGTGTGATGTTGTATTGTGTTTTTACTGTTTTTTTGTTGGAATCTGCCCAGAGTGGCTGGGGCAGTCAGATGAGTGACATATAAATAAATTGTTGTTGTAGTAGTGCATAACTCTGGGTCTCTGCCGCATTCTACTCTTTTTGGACCTGGCAAATGATATTTCATGAATCCATTTAAAAGCTGGTTAGCACTTTGAGCTTTCAGCAATTTCACTGTAAGCTCCTTAATTTTTATTTCTTAATAGTCTCACACTTGGAACCAAACGCCTTCTATGCTGAGTATGTTTTGTGAGCACTCATGATTCAGAAGGGAATATGAACATTTCATATGAGTTGGTTGCTAGCTGTCAGGGTCACCATAGCAAGAAAGGAATATAACCTTTTCAAATAAAGTTCAGATTAATTTGGGATGGGAGGGTGGTTTTGAGCTCTTCAAATGGCTTATTTGCATTGGTAGCTTAGCAGTTAGTGCTGAATTGAAATTGATGTTAGCATCCACCTGTCTTGAGAAATAATGGAGTGTGCCTCTGGGGGTGAAGTCAAACCATTGTGTTAGCAGCACCAAGTGACCACCTTAGGGAGCAAGCCTGGGCAGTGTGTATGGGGGTCCTGGGCTGCCCAGACAACAAGACCACCCCCCCCCCGCCCTCGCTGATGGTGGTCCAAAGGAAAGCAGAGCAATATGTTTGGCACCAGCTTGGCTGCAGGAGTTGCCATAAGGAAGCATATAAGGCACCATCCAATTGTCTTAGGGACTCCACTCTGGATTTGTGTAGGGTTTCCTCCTTAGCTTTTTCTTCTCCTGAAAAACAGTGGAGGTTTAGGATCAGTTTTTCTTCTCCTAGATGGGCTTCCTTCCCAGCTTGATGAGCCCCAGCTACCTCTTGAGGTGAAATAACGTTGCATTTATTTATTTATTATATTTTAAATGTTACAAATTTACAAAACATAAATAAAATTATCACAATTGCACAGTGTATAAACAGAATGGGTAATACTGTAGTCTTAATAGAATTTGATCACCAAAGGCCAGTGCCTACTTAATTTAACATGCTGAGGATCACTTCTTGCTCTGTGCTGCTGCTGCTGCTGCTGCTGCTGCTCCTTCATCCTCCTCTGCATTTGCCTTGGCTGCCACCTCCTCGTCCTCTCTGCTGTCATTTGTGGAGAGGCCCACTGACACTTCCTTAGAGCAGGAGAGAGGAGTTGGGGTCGCCCACTGCAGTGGTGGCCAGAGGGTTCACTCCACAAGCCTGAAGTGACACTGCCTACTTTAATCAAACATAGAGAGTTCCAAGTGGGGGCGGGGGTTATAGGCTTAGTTTAGAAACGCTTTCAGTTAGCTGCCGAAAAGGATGTGGAAGGGAAATGGTTCAGACCTGCTATCAGATGCAAAAGCACTCAGCGCAGAATATAAACTCTTGTGTGGCCTGGTGGTGATGCAGGCGATTGGAAAGAGTGGGAAGTGGGGATGTGGGCTGGATGCAAGATGGATTGTTACCTAGAAGCTTAAAGTAGCAGGAACTGGTAGCCCCATACCAGTTTACACACATAAGGTAAAGGTAAAGGTACCCCTGCCCGTACGGGCTAGTCTTGCCAGACTCTAGGGTTGTGCGCCCATCTCACTCTATAGGCCGTGGGCCAGCGCTGTCCGGAGACACTTCCGGGTCACGTGGCCAGCGTGACATTGCTGCTCTGGCGAGCCAGAGCCGCACACGGAAACGCCGTTTACCTTCCCGCTTGTAAGCGGTCCCTATTTATCTACTTGCACCCGGGAGTGCTTTCGAACTGCTAGGTTGGCAGGCGCTGGGACCGAACGACGGGAGCGCACCCCGCCGCGGGGATTCGAACCGCCGACCTTTCGATCGGCAAGCCCTAGGCGCTGAGGCTTTTACCCACAGCGCCACCCGCGTCCCAGTTTACACACATATCAGAGCACAAACAGAATTTTGAGTTGGGGCAGTGTTTATAAACTTCAACAATGCAAATATTTTAAAACAATGTTTTAAAAGAAAGTGGGTTTTGGGAAGCTAGCATTAGACTCGTTTCAGCTTTAACGATTTTAGATGAGTTGTTACATTCTCTTCAACATGAAAGCGTATGATACTTGACAGCAGCCTTTCAGCATTACATTCTAGCAGGCTTCTTGAGTAACTACTTTCAGCATACCTTAAGTTCCTCTCGTATACTTTCATCTGGTTACAATGGGTGTTTTCACTTCCGATTCAAACGGTTCATGCAGTACTAATTTGACCCACCCTTCAGTGGCTTCACTTGATTGCTGCACTGTTCTGGCAGTAAGATTATTTTTAATGCTTTTCTAAAATGAAGGCAATATAGAAATGTGTACTTAATACCTCAAAGATATATACTTGTAGACTAGTCCAGACAAGCTAATGCCATAATAAATGTGTTAATCTTCATAGTACCAGAAGATTCTTTTGTTTTTTCTGCAACACACTAAAACAACTTGCCTCTCTGGAAATTATTTCTGAATGTGTCTGTGATGTTCAAAGTTGTTTGATCTATATTTCTTCTAAAGCGACTTGATCCCAGTTTATATTGTAACTTTTTGCAAACTTTGGTGCTCAGGATATGATATGTTTGTATGTTGTCATCTTGCAGAATTTTACTTGTGTAATACTGGTGTCACTTGAATAGTTAACAAATGATTGCCTTGTAGTTATGAAAGCAATTTTTAAAAAGTTCTATCTTCCACTTATTTCAATCTTTAGGAAATCAAAACTTTCACAATCATAAAAAGGCCACACAAAAGTTGGGTTTTATATTACCATAACCAGTGTTAGAAACTGGGATAGAAAAACTAGAAGCCAAATGGCTTCTGGGACCTGGGTTGTGGGTGCCAAAAGAATGTAGTCGCCACTGGGGGGGTGGAGGGTCAGAAACACTTTTTATTATTTTGATAAGCTTTAATTAATGTGCAATTCATGTAAGTGACACATTGTTGATATCACACTTTAAACATTTTACATGTTTAATTTGGTGTTTTCAAAACACTATTTATTGTTAAACTCCTTAACATATTGTCTATTCTTAGCATATACTTTGAGGCTTCAAAGCACATACGTTTCACTAATCCTTGAGTGTCAGCCAGGCGCAAAAAATGGCACCCAGGCTTTTTGAGGTGCTCACGAATGGAGAATCTTAAGGGGCAAAATGTTCCTGGTGCCCTGCTAATTTCAAACCCTAACAGCCCAAACAGCTTTAGTTGGTGCCTCTTAACACAGCGTGGAGGACCAGATCAAGAATAATTTTTCAGTTAAATGGGGCAGCAAACTTGTATCAGCACCTTCTATAAGCACATAATTGCAACATGATTTGCATATATATCATATTCATATTGTGTGTATGCATAGCTATGGGTATACTCAGCTTCATTATCATTGTCCCTATTTCTGCATAGAAAAATATCTAAAGATACACATAACATAATACCTTTTCCTGCAGATATGCTACTCAGAATTTATTTCTGTTTTGTTCTCACAATTTCTAGTATATTTTAATACCACACTATTATTTGTAAGCATACATTGAGAGATTACGTAAAATATACCTTGTGTCACTAACTCTATGGAATGTGAGGGTAATTAAAGTACATTCAGATTCAGAAGAAACTGATCCATGTTATGTGCACTTTAGTATAAACGTGTTCAGTATAAACGTTTCAGTATAAACGTGTTCAGTATAAACGGTTTACGCTGAATTCTTCAAATCCTTCAAAGGATTTTTTCTTGGAATCTCATTTTTTGGAAGCAGTGTTGGTACAATCTGTTGGTTGTAAGAAATAGGGACAAGCCATGCAACTGACAGTATAGTTGTTAGTGATAAATTTAGGTGTACATGAATGAAAACTTCTGTAAATGTGAATTTCTGCATTTTACTGGATCAGAGTCTGTTTGTGTGGTCCCCATGTTTTTATGCTTTCATTATTTGCAAAGGACTGTGGTGCTGCAGGAGTTGTTGAGCAACAGGCCCTGTTTTCATACTCTGTGGATTTTTTTATCAACCTGCTAAAATGCATTGTAACTTCCTCTCCCGGCTGTCTACAGCAGAATACGGAAACCTTGCTGCCTGAGGCCACTTCTGCAATTGCAAGAGTTAAGAATTGGGTGGGGATGACAGGGCTTCTCTCCTACACACTAATGTTCTGGAGCTAAAAGAAAAGAAAATGAAGAGAAAAATATGCTCTGCATTGTGGCATGTCACAGTAACCTGTTCCGCACTTAATTCTTTGTCTGCCTCATTGCAGTGCTACAGTTGAAGCTCCAGCAGCGACGAACACGTGAGGAGCTGGTTAGCCAAGGGATCATGCCTCGTAAGTATAACTTGTTTAAACTTCTTCTTTCTCTTTGAATACACAGTGTCTTTTTTTGAGATGAGAAAGAGCTTTGAAACATCTGCCCTTCCAAGATCCATTCCACTTCAGTCCCCATGTACGGTGTGTGGAGCCTTGTGCCATTTTTAATTTCTAGGACTGGTACCCTAGCATCTATTTTCTGGAAGTTGGTTGCTGCACAGAGTAAGATGTGACTGTATTACTTGATAAAGAAGGACTTACGGGAAGATGTTGCCATGCTAGAAACATGTGAAACACTGGGTGCATGGTAGTCATTTTCTTAGCATGCTTCCTGCCATTGAGCTAGGAGTGTGGCTGCACACATGCTTAGTAGTGCCCTGGCTATAAAATGTTCATGCAACAAAGATTTTTTTCTGCATTTGCTACTGTTTAGAATTACACTGTAACCTTTAGACAGCAGGTTTTGTTGCATGGTGACAAGTGCTGCAATAGCTTGTTCATTAGGTGTGGCTCAAGTCAATGATGAAACAAATATATGCAGGGCTAAGGAACGCTTTGAAAATAACTTTTTAGTGTATGAAAAGTTATGATCAAATAGACAAATGCATCAGGAGAAGTAAAATGAGGGCTGGTAGAAAAGCAGTTGAGTTATTTTTGCATGTTCTGTAGTGTATTTGCCTTGAAGCCTTTACAAAGGTGTTGGCTCTGCTAAGAATTGTGCAAGCATCGGCTCAGTGTACCAATATCATGTTGCTGTTTTGCTACAAGAGTACTAGACGACTCATTTTGGGTTAGAAGGATTTTCTTTGTTCCTGTTATAAGCAGCATCCAGATATACCAACATTTTATTTTGCAAGTCCTAGCTGTTGCAATAACAACTGGGACTTTATGTGAAGCTGGCCTGTAAACATTTTTGTCTGTTGATTAGTTGGAAGTACACAGTTGTTTCTGGGGGAAGTTCCTGGCTCTCTAAAAGCTGAAAAGCAAATAAAGAGGAGTTTGGAGGGTCCTTTCTTGCACATATATTTTCCTATATCTCGATACTAGTAAATTATTCCGTTCACTTTTGGTTTCTGTTCTTCATGTTGAGACATATGATTTTAGTTGGCATGTTTATAAAATTTGTCAAATTCTAAAAAAATGTTCCATGATTCTCTGCTTGCTTTGTGCCTTTTGTGAGCAAAGGGGTTTCAAACAGAACCCAGTGTAAAGGGACTCTAACAGACTCCCCAATGTCTCATGCTGACCTGTTCAGCATCTTTAATTTCAGTATTGACAACAGTAGTAAAATGTGCAGCAACAATTGCATGTTGAATGACTGTTTTCCAAGTGACTTTCTTTATAATGGATTTGAGAAGTTTTCGGATACTTTTGAAGTGTTACAGCAGCTAATTGGGCTATTTCCGTTGCTGCCTCTGTAGTTCCAATAGGCAGAAGTCTGGATTCTGTATGCATGCTGGCTTGCTTTGTGGGCAATGGCACTAGATGTAAACAAATTTAAGCGCAATCAGGTATTTTGAATAGGTGTATTATGGGCAGAAAACTAATATAAAACTTTATCTTTTCAGTATAAACGGACATATTTGGCAAGCAGATTAGTGAATGTTATTCCTCTAGTGCAGAGAGAGTCTAAAAAACTTGTCAAGGATAGATTGATAGCAAATAGAATACCATTAGTTGAAAATGTATTATTTCAGAAACTAGGGTTAGCTCACCTTTCCCTTTCTTCACTGCCATCCTCATGTCTCATTTGTGGGCCTGCCATTCAATTTTAAAACACTTCCAGTCAATTAACCATCAGTTTTACTTTATTTATTGATAAGTTAAGCTTACACACGAATAAATTCTAGATTTAGAATGTTAATGGACACTTTTAAATGTTCAGGCATACTCTCCAGGATTTTTTTTTTTAAACAGAAAGGAAAACACATACAACTCTGATACATTGGATAGATCAGAAGAAATATTTGTTCTAGACCAAATAATTATATTGTTGCATCAGGTGTGTGTGTGTTTAAATGGAAGAGAGGATGTGGAAGAAAAGAAGTAGGTTTCAGTTCATAGTGTTTTAATAAGATATATCTAATTTTCATTTTAAATGTCAGTGTGCAGCTATTTTTTGTATATTGAAATTTGAGAGATGAAGGTGACCCAGGCCATGTCTGTGAGGAAGCAACTCCAAAGTGCTGGGGATTTCCCTTTCTAGTAGTGGGTGGAGCTGTTGGGGTCCCACAGCCTGCCTGCCTGCCCTTCCCCAGACTATTGTGCTTCAGTGAGAAGCAGCAAGAGGGGCTTCTAGGAACCCAGTACCCATCCTTTTCTGCCTCCCACCCCCAACCCGGTCTTCCCCACTGGTTGGCCAGGCTTTTGACTGGAGGAGCAGGCAGCAGTATCACCAGTGCCTTCCACCTTGATGACAGCAAGCAAAACCTTGGCTTTAGATCTCTGCCAGGAGTCCACACAACCCTTGTCATCCCATTCCTATGATATGTAGTCATTGCTAGATCAATGAAGTGTCATATCCATTCAAAATAATTATATTTTATCCCACCATTCCTTCAGTGAGCTCAAAGCAACGTACATAAATTTATCTTCACCACAACCCTTTGAGGTAGGATAGGCTGAGAAAGTGTAACTGGCTCACAGTCATGCAGTGAGCTTTATGGTTGAGTGAAGGTTGATTAAAAACTTTGATTGACTACTTGGGTTCATTAGTTAGTTCTTATTTCAGTCCTACTTATTTGCATTCTTTTGTGTTTATTGAGTACACTTTATCAGGCACAGGTCTCTTGGCTGCTAGGGTTTACCTGTAGCATAGATCAGGAATCTGTGGCCCTCCAGATGTTGGACTACTACTCCCATCATTCCCCATAATTTTTCTTTGGGGGTGTGTGTGTACATTTTTCCAGTTATTGTCGTAGATACACAGAGTAAGCATTCTGTGTAGTATGCTGTGATTCAAACTATAAAACACTTAATACTGTACTTTTAATCTATTATTAGTTAAATGCCCATCACTCTGATAATACAGAGGGCCTTGTTAATGGAGGCCAGTCCTCCTGTTGTTATGGTTAGCAGGTTGGTTTAGGCCCCTGGTGCAGTGCTTTATTTTTGGAAACCATTTTGGGATAAAGTATAGGGGCACAAGGAGATAGTTGAGATGGAGGCCTGGCTTGTTCCAGTGTCACAGTGATTCCAGTGACAGGGATGAGGGTCAGGTTTTATCCCCTACCCCCCCGTTATGTTCCAGAGTGAAACCAGATTAGAAACTTCAGTGATTAAGTGGTATATAAATAGCTTAAATATATGCATACATACTTTGTTCTAATGAAAGCATTGGAGAACTGAACTAGCCCATGTTTGCATAGTTCAGCCCTGATTCTGCATCTTGGTGTGATAAAACCGTAGAGATTGACTATTGCTAATCTTAATAGAAATTTAGAATCAAGGCACCTTTGCTGATTCTAGTATAGAATAGTGGCTGCCATAATAGTAGAAATGCATAAATTGTCCTCCATCCTTGCCTCAGTGCACGTTCAGTGTGAATATATTCAGGTATGTTATAATGGGGACGCGGGTGGCGCTGTGGGTAAAAGCCTCAGCGCCTAGGGCTTGCCGATCGAAAGGTCGGCGGTTCGAATCCCCGCGGCGGGGTGCGCTCCCGTTGCTCGGTCCCAGCGCCTGCCAACCTAGCAGTTCGAAAGCACCCCTGGGTGCAAGTAGATAAATAGGGACCGCTTACTAGCAGGAAGGTAAACGGCGTTCCGTGTGCTGCGCTGGCTCGCCAGATGCAGCTTTGTCACGCTGGCCACGTGTCCCGGAAGTGTCTCTGGACAGCGCTGGCCCCCGGCCTCTAGAGTGAGATGGGCGCACAACCCTAGAGTCTGGCAAGACTGGCCCGTACGGGCAGGGGTACCTTTACCTTTACCTTTATGTTATAATGAGACTCCTTGACCTTGCTTTTGAGGGAAGCCATGCTTGATCCTTCTGGGTTTCTCTTCCAAAAATTGTTTACATAAAACAAGCACATGATAAACAAACAATAAAGGCTTTAATCACAAGAGTGAGAAGGAAGAGGACTGAATTTACATTATGAGGTCTGTTATCTTGCCTTATTAATAGTATGGCCTGACCATAATGCCAGTGTGCAGTTCAGAGAGATTTTAGAAGTTGTTCATTTTAACTTGGCAGTGTTGCAAATTAGAGAAACCACAAAAGGCCAGACGCTTCTGCTTGTTGTGTCCTCCAATCCCATTCATTCAGATTATATGAGTATTTTGTTAAACTTCCTTAATTTAAACAGTTCAGTATGTATAAGGCAAGGCTGAGGGCTGCATATTCTAGATATATAGTTCATTTATGAACTTACTCAACTTGTGAAATGCCTAGGGAGGAGAGGGATTGCAGTCAAGGACCTGCTAGGTCCCATTTTACTCACTTAAATGGGTCCTATCTTTGCATTTTTGGGCATTCTTCCTAGAACAGATTTGAGGTCAGAGCAGTTTGTTCCAAAACAGATCTGCATTTGAGGTTGGAGCAGAAAAAAATAGGAAGCTTTTACATTTATTTTTCTCAAGTACACTTAAGCTTGCTTAAATACCCATTCAAAACAACCCATCTCCTTTTAGAATAATGCAAGCTGTTGGCTGTACTTTTACTTCTTTTACTTTTTAAACTAGTGGAATTAAAACCACATTGTGTGCCTTCATTAACTTTCTTGGTATGCTAATAGTGAAATATTATTTTGCTCTGAGTAAACTTGTAAAACGTGATGGGCTTTGTCAGACTGGGAGCTAGTAAACCTGCATATACTCTACAGTTGAGCATTTCCTAATGCATTGTGGCTATCTCAAGCAGCTAACTTAAAAGCACCATTTCTGGATGAAGTTAACATTTTCATTTCTTGAAGGCCAGCATACAGTGGTACCTCGGGTTAAGAACGTAATTCGTTCTGAAGGTCCGTTCTTAACCTGAAACTGTTCTTAACCTGAGGTACCACTTTAGCTAGTAGAGCCTCC